GCCCAGGAGTTGGAGGTTGCTATGAGCTATGATGCCATGGCACTCTACCCAGGGGGACAGCTTGAGGCTCCGTCTCAAAAAAAAAAAAAAAAAAAGAGAAAGAAAACTGAATATATAATCTCCTATCTTTACTTAGCACTGATAAAAAATGTAATTTAAATTGCCTTTAAATCCTACAACTTTACAAAAAAATTTAAGTTAAAAAGTATTAAATAAAAAAAGTATTAAATCCTCCTCATAATAAAAAGGGAGGATGGTCCTATATGATAAATGACTTCATGCAGCTTATAATAATTACATTTGCAGTTTAACATAGTCTAGAGCAGTGTTTTTCAACTTTTTTTTATCTCACAGCACGCTTGAACCTATAGTTAAATTACCATGGCACACTTAAATTATGTTCATCAAAACAAAAACGAGGTTTAAAAAAAAAAGAACTTACTGTGCTTTGAATTTTTTACATAAACAATTTAATTAATGGTGTCTAAAATTTTTCACAGAACACCTAGGATCCTCTCATAGCACAGTGGTTGAAAATTGCTGTTCCAGAGACTTAGAGGTGGCTGGAACCATGTTAAAATCCATATTCATTTTAAAAAGTTTCTACGAATGATAAAAAATAGTTGTGGAGGGATTGTTTTTTCTCTTCATACTCTTCAGAAAGGTGTACTTGTGAGGATTTCTTTGTAAAGATACAATTACAACAATATATATAAATATGGCAAATGTATTCACAAAAAATTACTTCTAAATTAATTTTTAAGTACCCAATATTTTAGTTAAACAAACCTTCCAAGTATACAACCAAAGTGACTGTACTTGGATATTTATCATTTCACATACGCCTTTATAATACACCCCTGTGTTCCTCAAAGGTAATGAAGCAGCCTATCCAACTCCTTAAATGCTTTTTAAAAGGGTAGTGAGGCTCAGCGCCTGTGGCTCAAGCGGCTAAGGAGCCAGCCACATATACCTGAGCTGGCGGGTTCGAATCCAGCCCGGGCGCACCAAACAACAATGCTGGCTGCAACCAAAAAATTGCCAGGCATTGTGGCGGGTGCCTGTAGTCCCAGCTACTTGGGAGGCTTGAGCCCAGGAGTTGGAGGTTGCTATGAGCTGTGATGCCACTGCACTTCTACCCAGGGTGACAGCTTCAGGGTCTGTCTCAAAAAAAAAAAAAAAGGTAGTGGTAAACCTTAATACTGCAAATAACTGCAGTCTAATTTCATTGCCTAAATTCGTCAAAATAAGAATCACTTTGGGCTCAGTGCCTGTAGCACAGTGGTTATGGCACCAGCCACATGCACGGAGGCTGGCAGGTTCAAGCCTGGCCCAGGCCAGCTAAACAACAATGACAACTGCAACAAGAAAATGGCCAGGCTTTGTGGTGGGCACCTGTTGTCCCAGCTACTTGGGAGGCCTTTGCAAGGGAATTGCTTGAGCCCAAGAGTTTCAGGTTGCTGTGAGCTGTGACGCCAAAGCACTCTACCAAGGGTGACATAGTGAGACTCTGTCTCAAAAAAAAAGGAATCATTTTGTGAAATCTCCTCATGACAATGATATCCACAGACCACCTAGAGCAGCATTTTTCAACCAGCATACCAAAGCACACTGGTATGCCATGAGAGGATCTTAGGTGTGCCACAAAAATTTTTAAAGACCATTAATTAAATTATTCTTGAAAGATGCTCAAAGTACATAAGTATATTCTTTTATTTACTTCTTTTCATCAGTATAATTTAAGTTTGCTGTGGAAGTTTAATTATAGGATTAAGTGTGCCATGAGATAAAAAAAGGTTGAAAAACACTGGCTAAGAGCAATAGGTACAGCAAGCAGCACAGATACGCAATAATTCTAACTATTAATAATTCTAAACACACGTGTATTTTAATTTTCTGAAACCAAATGTTGAAAGAAAGGAGTCAGATTAATCAATCACTAAATTCATCATTAGCAAATACATTTAATCCGTATTTCAAAAGGAAGTTTAACTCAAAGGACTTATGTATTTTACTTAACTACTATTCATGAAAAGAATCTAATGCATAAAACAAAGTATGTATGTTATTTTGAAAACAATTTGTGGGTACTCCATTCTAGTAGATTAAAACTATTATTTATGGCCCTAATTTTCTGATTCATGGTTTCCATGTTTTCCTAATACTAAAAAAAGATAAGAAAAACAAACTTCTTTGTTTTTTCTAAATACAATAATTCTTCTATTTTCTATAATGTAGCTATATTATTACTTTCAGAGTTTTAAACACTGAAGAAAAACACTCCTACAAATCAATTTCTGTAAGAGGAGTTATTTTTAGACAAGCACAAATATAATTTAAATAAACCTTTACTTTTTATTGTAAGTCAAAATAATGTTCTTAATTAGGACAATTTAGCATTTTTTGACACTTTTCCTAAAAGTGTCATTAGGATGCTGGCTTAATTTCATCATTTTTACATAATGTATGAAATTAGCAATGATATAGCTAAATTAATATTATTTCCAAATTCTATAGGTTGTTTGTTTAAAAGTTCTGCTTCTCCTTCTCTAGTCAGTTCAAAATCTAAATAACCAAAGCTCTTATAGTAGAAAAAAAAAAAAAAGAAAACATGGGTTCTAGTCCCTGCTTCATTACTGTTTCTATCTACATTACTGTGAAATGAGATAATTAGAATAAAATGTTGCCTTTCGAGATCTAAAGTTCTATAGTTGTACTTCACATTTTAACTAATATATTGATCAGATTGTCAAAATATTTGAAAATACAGATGGTTATTTTCAAGTAACAAAAAAATTGTGTAACTCAGTGCTAAGCAAGTCTAATCATGCAAATTCAGATCTACAAGACATAAACAAGAAAAACACAATCAACTTCAAAGAGATTCTCCAATTTTAAAATAATTTCCTAAGAAGTTTACATAATGAAATAAGATTCAAAACTTCAACTTACATGTAACTTTTTAGAAAGAGAAACAAAGGTGATTCTCAAATATCTGGACTCAACAATTCTGTGTCAAAATCAGGTAACATATGTATCCTTAAAATAAAGACTGCTCAGCACTCATACACACATATAACCTGCTTTTCCTCTTACCTAAATTAATATGTAATAGCTTTAAAATCATTGAGTCTATGATAAACTTGTACAGATCATTTATATAGTAACTATCAACTACTTATTTAATACTTAAGTAATGGAAACCAAAAACATACCAGTACTAAAGAGTCGAATCATACACTCATGAAGCCAGGGATGACTAGAATCAATAGCAAATGCCCTCTTTACTGATTGTAGCATCAAAAGAAACTTTTCTACAAAAAGAAAAAGTAAGATATATTTTGATCACTTAATAAAATAAGAGGCCCTCCTTTGAAGGGCCAAGACCTTACAAACAGAAAAATTAAATTTAGAGTCAATCACATCTGAACTGCAAATGTATGGTTTGAAGCAAACAACTTTTTTCCTATTAGCAATATTAGCTAATATTTTTTCATATAACATTCTTTAAGAAAAGCAGTTTTATAAAATATAGGAAAATTTAGGCAGCATTCAGCAATATTTGAACTAATGGCATATAAAAAACAAGGAAACAATGTGAAGCCATTTCATTTCCTAAGCTTTTAAACAAAATGTTCCCCACTACACAAAAAAATTTCCTTATGTATGCTTGAAACTATCTCCTTTCTTGTATTTTGTGACATGTAAAATCATTTCTCTTTTACTTGACTCTTTCTCTCCTGCCAATCAGTCCCTGACTCCTCTCTCCCCTAAAGGTAAAAATAAAATATTCACCAAAATTATGTTTTCATTTTCTAATCTCTTTATGCTATGCCCACTCCCATTCTCCATCTCTCCCAACGTTCAGTAATGTTTCCACCTGTTACATGGAAATTTACACTTACATACTCAGTCCATTTCCAAGTCTTATTTATATAACCACCTCTTTGTTAAGACTTCCCTAATTTGGTACCATCTTCCAAATATCAAAGTTCAAAACCCCAGGCTCTTCTGATAACTCCTTTTCCCTTGCCCACAACACTTAGAGAGCTAAAAATATTGCCATGCCCTTTGTCATTACCAATTTCACACAACTGCAGTGGATTCCAAATGCTGAGGTCCTTTAGAGGTTAGAACACAGCCAAGAAGCCAACTGAATGGGGCTTTAGATTGCCCTTCCCCACTTTAGGCAGAGCAGCTTTTGTATTTTATACTTGGGGGTTCCATTTAAGAAAATCTTTAAAAGGGGAGCTGTATCAACTGTCAAAAGTTTAAAAATTAAACTTTTATTTAAAAATTAAACTATTATTAAACTTTTTTCCAAGTTATAATACTTGTGGAAAATAGAAAATAAAGTAGGAAATATTTTTATCTTTCAAACTGTGACAAAAGAAAATGTTATCTTTGGAACTATTTCTTCTCAGTCACTTCTATGTTATATATCATGGTAAATATATTAATAAAAATTCAATCTATAGTTAATTTTTTATCCTATTATATAACCGTGCTATAAAGCCACTTTCTCCCTACATCAGTATTTTTGATAAACATGATTTTTAAAATGGATACAAAGAAGTACCTCCTTTAATAATTACACTGTTTAATGCAACAATGTTGTTTGATCTTACCACCAGTTTCTCTTCCCTTCAATAGGCAACTCCTTAGTGATAAACTCTTATTTCAGTTTGTGCTTTCCTTTTTTTTTTGGTTTCTTAAAATTCATGGAAGTTTGAAGATAAACTTTTTCTCAATGCATCAATTCAGTCCTATAAAATCTTACTACCTACTAAATACATATTCTAAGCATTTTACACCTGGAAACCAAGTCATTTTATTTATCTTTTACCCGGCTCCAGGTAGTACAGATAACCTCAACATTATTTACACACTCTCTCACTTTGTTAATATTTTCCTTTCTATGTATCTTTTCCTTTAGAAATACAATCTACCCTTTAAGATCTAGCCCACAGATTATAACTTTTATTTATAACAATAGCTTATAATAGCTAACATTTATTTAATGATTATTGTGTATCCAGGCACTATACTAAGCTCAGTATTAACTAATTTTATCTACATAATCGTCAGTTCTTTGATTGAACCATATAAATGGTAATTACCATGTTTAACCTTAATTCTAGTTATTTATGTACATCTATTGTTGGTTCTAATGTCCTAGATAATTCTAATGTCCTAGGTAATTGTATCATTGTACCTCCCCACAACATTCTGTGCATAGCAGGCATTTCTCTGAGAAAGCTGCATTGGCATTTGCCAAACCATCCAACAGTGGAGGCTGCAAGAGTTGGGTGACTATATCTAAGAAATACAGTGATCAGTTTCATCAGATCCACTATACCCTAATTGCCTACCTTTCCTAAAGTAAATCTCAAAGGCAAAAAGATGAGTTTCTATCTTGTTCTTCACCAAGTTCTTCAACGGTGTTAAAAATTTAATAGCTTCTTCCAATGGAGTTTCAACCTAACAAAAATAAAAGATATTATACAAATGGAAGTAAGATTCTTGGGGAGTGTGATTGTATTCTTGCTATTGAAAATACTTACTGGTTTTCTTAAAAAAAAAAAAATCACTTACCAGTCACTCAGAAAACCACTGTCATATTTTAATTTCCCATAATCTAAATGAAGAGGATTTTGATTCTTAACTGATTTTTAACCACAGATACTATGTTATCTCTAGATAGCCATTATCTAATAAGAAGGAAATAGATAAATAGAACTAGGGAAAGAAAAAGAAGTCAAAACAGTCAAGTGGAATAAAAAACAGAAGAGAGATTTAAAATGGAATGGAGAGAGAAGGGAAGGGAACTGTAAAGAACATTACAGAATAAGTGAATGTTCTTTATAATTCAAACAAAGTGAAATATAATCAAGCTATTAAAAATAGTACACTATCCATTCTGTCTTGCTTCGCTCTACTACAAATTCTACAAAAATTTGTGTTTATTCAAATCACATACTAATGGTGAAACAGCATTTGAAAAAAATTTGTATTTATCTGTCTCTACAACCCATTATTAATTATATAATGTCATACTAATTATATACTTGTAATTATTACTGAACAGGTATAATATAATTGTGCTTTACCCCTCAATGAAAAATATATTTGCTATATCTGTCCAGCATGCCTCTGCCAGTACAGTAATTATGGTTTCTCCAACACTTCAGACTAAGGAAATTATTTCATAGCATCAAACTATTAATAATAATAAGTTAAGCAATGAAGTGATGTCTATGGGATTCATTCACCTTGTCCTGGTATGTAAAGCAGTGGTCTTACAGGACAATAAAATAATCCATTAAAATCCCAACTACAGGGCCAAATAGTGTTATTTTGAAGTACACATACTCTAAACCAGAACCAGAAATCAATAAATGACACTGCACTCTAATAACTGTAGATTCAGGAACCAAGAGATAAAAAGAGTTAAGAGGGTCCCCTATAAGTATGTTTTTCTCAGCTGGGCATGGTGGCTCATGCCTATAATCCTAGCATTCTGGGATGCCAAGGAGGACGGACTGCCAAAGGTCACAGGTTTAAGACCAGCCTGAGCAAGAGTGAGGCCCCTGTCTCAAAAAATAGCCAGGCACTTTGGCAGTACCTGTAGTCCCAGCTATCTGGGAGACAGAGAGAAGAAAATCACTTGAGCTGAAGAATTAGAGGTTGCTGTGAGCTGTGATGCCATATCATTCTACTGAGGGCAATAAAAGGAGCCTCTCTCAAAAAAAAAAAAAAAAAAAAAGTATGCTTTCTCACATATTTGTAAATATTTTGTTTCTTGTTCCCATGTTTCCATATTTTATTGGGTTGGAATATGCAGTACAATGGGGAAAATGTTTCTACTAAACAAAGGTAGAAAACTGGAAACTGAAAGTGCCACCCAGCTATATCAAGAGAGTTTTCATGGGGTACAAGCTGAAATGAGGGGTAGTATATTGACCACAGTAATTATTAGGGAAATATGACTGCCATTACAAAATGGAAACAAGTTCTAGTATAGGTAAGGTAAATCAATACAAGCATTCTATTTAGTAAAATCAAGTATATGAACGTGGAGTGAAAACAACATTTAATTCTATCTGTAATTCCAATAAACAAAAACATATTCCCCTAAGGAAGATCTGGTTCTGATGTTCCAACATGTAGTCTGTTCCCGAGTGCCTCTGATAGGGAAGATTTTGTCAGGGTAAATCTAAATGTTTAAGCTCTATGTATAAAACCACAATCACTATAAAACTAAGCATATTCTACATTTACTCATATATAATGCAGTACAGAGTTACATATGCAAATTCATATAAATAGTAATGCAGTGCTAAAACACAGTGCTAAAAAAACGTCAAAATATCCTTGAAAATTCTGTAAGTTGAAAAGATAGGCAGATAGATGTGATACAACTAGTTTGCATTATGTGTATCCATATTTTTAAGAAATACCAAAATCACAATCACTGTAGTAAGACATTCACACCAGCAGAAGCGCACAAGGATTGATGAGATGGGCTAAACAAATTTGCACTCATGCCTCCTATCTCATACGCAGCTGGAGTCCAATGTTCATTGATAGAAATACTGGATAAATTGCCAACATTATGAATATATTCTCGTCCTCCTCTTTTTAGTCAAGAGTCTCACTCTTGTCACTCAGGCAAGAGTGCAGTGGTGCATTATAGCTCATGGCAACTTCAAACTCCTGGGCTTAAATGATCCTCCTACCTTAGGCCCTTGAGTAGCTGGTATTTCAGCTTTGTGCCACCATGCACATCTAATTTTTTCTGATTTTAGTATAGATGGGATCTCACTGTTGCTAATCTTGAACTCCTGACCTTAAACCATCCTTCATCTCCCAAAGTGCTGGGATTACAGGCATGAGCCACTGCCTCCGGCTTTCTTTTTTTTTTTTTTTTTTTTTGACACAGAGCCTCAAGCTGTCACCTTGGGTAGAGTGCTGTGGCATCACAGCTCACAGCAACCTC